ACTTATTTTATTAAGTTCCATTGTTCATATTCATTTTCCTGTAAGTGGCATATTGTTTTGTTTACACAATTATTTTAATTGACCTTTTTTCGCAGTGTCGTGTGTTGATGCGACAAGACAAAACACTGAAGATTCGTGCCAACCACTACATTACACCCTTTATGGAGCTCAAACCTAACTGTGGTAGCGACAGGGCTTGGGTTTGGTCTGTGCCAGCTGACTTTGCTGATGAAGAACCAAAGCAAGAGCTCTTTGCCATCAGATTTGCAAATGCAGAGAGTAAGTCTCCCTAGACATATATTGGTTTATACTGCATGCTTATGGGAACTCCCTAAGAGGGGGATTTTAGGGGGTCAAATTGATAAATATTAATGAAAGAAATTGTGTGGATTTTCTTGTTTTTTTTATATTTAATGTATTTCAATATTCAGCAACTTTTGTGTGTGGAGGGCTGGGGGGTATATCCTCTGTGATTCTCCCTTCCCCCCTCCTCCACATATCTGCACAGTTGATCCATATCCCTAAGGATTATGAATTATGTCATGAAAAAAAATGTGAATCAGCATCAGTGAATTCTTAAGACAACTATGAAATTCACTTTAGTTACAACATATCCCCCCAAAAAAAGAAAAGAGAAAAAAAATCAAATTAAACCTTTATTTTTTTTTAATCATAAAAAAGTCAAAAAGTCCTCTGAACATTTTTACAAGGTTTCCAAAGATAAATCCAAAATTTAAATTGGTTAAGAATTGTGGGATGAGGGATCACCTAAGCTTAAAAAAAAGAAAAGAAACAGAATAGAAATAAGAAAATTAATTTTCTATAAGTTTTATTTTATGAAATTTGATTAGCTAATAATTGTAGACACTACATTTCTCTTTCAAATGCAATTTGTTGCATAAAGATATAATTAATGATTTTAGAGATATAGAAGAAACAAAAAAATTACTAGTGTGAAAAAGGTGCAAATCCCGATTGAATGCAGCACAACTTGCACAGAAACATGGTTACTAATCAACAACCAGTATTTTGCATGTAAATGTGTTTATATGTGTATACATGTTCATATTGATGTACGTGTATGTATGTTTACCTGTTTGTTTACATAGGTGTACCTAACTGTACATGTGTACATGTGTGTGTAATGTTAATAAATGTATGTATCTGTGTGTACAGTGTGTGTAAATGTGTACATTTTTGTCCTCTCTCTCCTCTCTCCTCTCTTTCCTCCTCCTCTCTCTCCTCTCTTTCCTCCTCCTCTCCTTCCTCCTCCTCTCTCTCCTCTCTTTCCTCCTCCTCTCCTTCCTCTCTTTCCTCCTCCTCTCTCTCCTCTCTTTCCTCCTCCTCTCCTTCCTCTCTTTCCTCCTCCTCTCTCTCCTCTCTTTCCTCCTCCTCTCTCTCCTCTCTTTCCTCCTCCTCTCCTCTCTCTCCTCTCTTTCCTCCTCCTCCTCTCTCTCCTCTCTTTCCTCCTCCTCCTCTCTCTCCTCTCTTTCCTCCTCCTCCTCTCTCCTCTCTCTCCTTTCCCCCCTCCTCTCCTTCCCTCACAACCCATTAACTAAATACTTAATATATTACAGATGCCCGATTGTTCAAGGAGAAATTTGATGAGGCCCGTGGTATTGTGACAGTAGCAACAGTAGCGGCTCAGGAGGCAGAAGAAACAGAAGAGCAGAAAGAAGACAAAACTAATAAAGAAGAGGTAGAGAAGAAAGGAGATGATGATGGGAAGGAATTAGGGGACAAGGTGACAGAGGATGTCACTAAAGAAATGGAGAAAATGACTGTTAAGGCAGATCAGAAAGAGTAAATGTGAGATGAAGCCACAAAATTTTATTTGCAAAATTGTTCTCATCTTATATAATCCTTGTTAATACCAGAAAGCTTGGCTTTTCACAGTAATGTACTTTTTTTTTTTTTTGTATCATTACCTTTTTGTAGATACCATCATTCCATATTTTATTTAGACATTTGTTCACATGTGATAATTGATGAACTGCATCAGTTATTGTCAAAATGATGTGCCTTGGAGGTCTTCATTGGTGAATGTTTCCCTAGCATGAACTGTGATCAGTGTGTTGCGTGTAATCTCAGTATGTGTGCAAATGACAGTTATATCAGTAAGAGTGAAAAATTGTGGGGAATCTCACGAAAGCATTCATCTTCATTGCACTTAAAAGGAATTATGTGTGAAGTTGTGGTTCTGTGCTCTTCAAAGAATGCTAGACAGTTTATATCTTGGCACGAAGGTGGCAGAACAGCTATTAGAATTTTGTTGTTTATTATAGAAGTGAATAAGTTAAACATGTGATGAGTATTCTCAAACTCTGTGCTTTTACTGTTTTCTGGATAATGGCATCAGTTATCTATTTTCTTGTCTTTTAAGATATGAGACAACATACACCATGTCTTTGAATTTAGGGCATTACAGAACTCAAAATTTCTGAAATATTAGTGGCCTTTGGCCTTTAATTATATCCAATTTAGATGCAGCTTTAAACTTCAGATTCCTAGACATGTAGCTTCACATTTTAATCCAATCTGAATGATGATAGAGAAATAGACAGATGTTGAGTGTAGTTGATAAGCAGTTTGAGCTTTTTTCAACTAAGATACTCGCATGATGCTCCACATTTCGTAGGACATATCAGATGGGGTAATAATTCTCTTGAAATATTTTGAATTTCTTTGGGCCTTTGAAATCAGTGGTAGGCTATCTGTTTTATCTATTATATATGGGATTCCACATTTGTTTTGTTGCTGATCCAGCAGCCAAGTTTGTTAAATTTCCAATGCTCAGTGCAATTGCAGAATTGACTAATAGATATACACTGAATATTTACAGTAGAGTGAGTATCAAATTCAAAATAATTTGTCATGAAAAATATATGAATATATTTTTGAACATCGACTGGCTGCTGGTTGTCTTTACTTTGAAATATATCTAATGTTAATATTTCAGTCATGTTTTTCATTCTTGTAGGACATTAATGAGTAGGATCAAGAATTAATTGTTTGTGTTTGTTATATTCCAGTAACAAAATTACTGTTTTTAATGCATTGCATTTTATTCTTTAAGCTGCATATTTTCAGCAAGTAAATCCTGTATGTTTATAAAAGAGCAGATAGAGCAGATTTTCAAAATGTGTACAAATTAAGTTTTTCTGTTTTGTCATTACGTGAGAAATTCCTAATAATCCCCTCCGTGTGTCTATTGCGTACTAAGACTATTTCTTTAGTTGCTGGAATTAGTTATTGGCACTACAAAAAGAGGAAATAATAATGTATATATATATTTTGTTTTGTTTTGTTTATTTTTTATTTTTTTTTCATTTATTTATTTTGTTTTTCCAAGTAAAGGATGTGTAATGTGTGACATTATATGGGATATGAAAAAGATTGGTAATGCCAAAGTTAAAAGTTAATTATGCTATAGTTATTATTTGACTTTTTGTTTGGTTTGTTAGAATTAATGTTATATTACATATCTTGAAGGATTGTGAAAAAGCAGTATGACTTCAGTTTGCATTAGGTAAATACAATAATACTTGACTTTATTTTTTCTTTTTGTATTTCCAGCTAACAGAACCTTTAGTAATGAGTTTTCTCAATGGTGCCTGAGGTATTAATGTTGTGGCGTACATTATTTTAAGGGAAGCCAGACATAGTGATAATCATGAATTAAAATAGAAATAGGTTGTTTTCATCTTCAGCAGCCAGTTTGGCAGCAGTATTACCACTCACTGAACACTGGTTTTGTCTTTGAATAGTATGAATAGTCTTTCTCCGTGGTATGAATTTAATCTTTATTTCACCCCTTTTATATAAGGGTGTTCTTGTGTACCTTCGAGTGCATCTATGTAATTATCACAGGTGTGATTTGGAGTGCATTGTAAGAAAACCATCCTACAAGTGTATTTTGTACAAGATCTTTATCTATGTATGTCTTCATACAGAATTAGGATACTAAGTAATGAAAGGTCTTGCATGTTGCTTTGAAGCTGTGATTGTGATTGAATCTTTTCAGATCAATCAACCTTAAAGAAGCATAGAGTAACCTGCTAATAAAAGATGAAATAACATTTATTGTATATTACTTTTCCTGTAGACTGTATTTGAGTTTTACAAATAGACTAATTTACTTGTATTGTTCATTATATAAGATTTTATCAAGGTTGGATAATATGAACAACTACAAATGCAAATCAAAACATTGACCACACACAAGTAGGCAAGATGCAGTAGTCATATTCCTATCTAAGCTAGAACCGTTGTTATAAAACAACCAAGTTTGTTAGACTGCAGTGTGAAGGAAGTGAAGGGAAGGAGGGAGGTTAGGTTAGGATTACTGTACACCAATGGTTCTTTTCTGGCTGAGGCAAAATCCTGTTCATATTGACCATGGCTGCCTGTGTACCTTCATAAATACTTCTATTTAACCCCTTGGTGATGGGGTAAGAACACTAAAAAAAACTACGCCCTGGCAATCACTGGCAGCACACCGACTTTCAGCAAGGGATTTTGGTACATAAGGCCTAATCACTGGCTTGTTGCGCTTTGGTGTGCCGCCGCGGCGTACAGACGCATGCCACATTTCGAGTGGTTTGTATTCACGCCTATAGGTGTGACCTTTCAGGAAGGGGTTAAAATTCAAATTCTTGAGTACTTGTGCTTGTAAAAACAAGAAAAAGGCTGCCTTTCACCTGTCTGCCTATGATTTGCTTAGTCTATATTGAGGAAAAATTGTGCACCACCTTGGCGACTCATTGACCCACTGACCCACTGCTGTACACCTTTTCCTCTATAGCGAGTGGCACTTGTGATCGTACACATTGTCTGCTCTTGGCAGCCATGCAAAGTTTTAACCCTGTAACCCCCCTAATCCCTCGCTCGTTGCAGTGGGGGCTTAAGAGGGGAGACTGAGGCCCAATGTAGAGGATCGATCCTGCCTTGGCCTCAGCCCTCGCCTCAACTAATTCTGCAGGGTCTTTTCTTCTCCCTCTTTCATTTCCTTTACCCTCAGCCCCTTCTGTCCACTTATCCAGATCATTAACTCATAATTGCCCTTTTTGCTACAATACTTTACCATAATGCTGTGTGACCTTTGACGTCAGGAACGTGTTTTTGGCCATTGACCGTTCGGGAAAGTCCTGGCTCAACTAGATTTGCATTGTCTTTTCTCCTCCTTTCCTTTTCCTTCCCTTCTTCATCCCCTTGTTCTGTCCACTTACCCTAATTGTTAACTCATGCCCTTTTTGCCACAATATTTCATCATAATGCTCCCCTACTCCCTTAGCTCCTTCACCTTCTAACCTTTACCTTATGCTATACTCCATCAGTTCCCCATCTATACCCTTTTCATTACCATACTACCCTATATTACTGCTCAACCTGTAGTTTTGTGCTCATCATTAACCCATTCACGCTGGGTGACACGTATATGTGACATGCCCACTGTGAGTTTACTTGTTTAATTGTTTTTACACATAGATGGCTACACTTGTTGCGAGTACTGCCTGTCTCCCCGTTTACCATTTTCTTTAATTTACGAAAACATTTTACGTTATCTTATTTTGCTGTTACTAATGTTTATAACATTCAGGTAAGGCAGAGCCATATATGTGTAGAGACATTTCACAAAAACTATAAAAAATGAGCACAGCATTTTCCCCATTTTTTGTTCATTTTTACCCTTTGTGATTGGGTTAACTCATCCCTAACCCTATACTCTACTATACTTTACTGTAGTGCTATATGACCTTTCATGTCATATAGCACTTTCTTACTTGGGGGCTTTACCCTCAAATGTCATTGCTGCTAATGACCTTAGATGTTAAAGCGGTAGAAAATTGTCAATAAATAAAATAAATACGTATGTGTTTCTATCTCTCTCTATCAATCTATCTATCTATCTATGTGTATATATATATATATATATACATATATATATATATATATATATATATATATATATATATATATATATATATATATATATATATACATATATATATATATATACATACATACACACACACACACACACACACACACACACACATATATATATATATATATATATATATATATATATATATATATATATATATATATATATATATATATACACACACACACACACACACACACACACACATATATATATTTTATATATATATATATATATATATATATATATATATATATATATATATATATATATATATATATATATATATATATATATATATATATATATATATATATATATATGACTGCCGCGATAGCTCAGTGGTTACAGCACTGGACTCCGACCCTCGTGGTCCCGAGTTCAATTCCCCGTCGCGGCAGTCGCAAAAAATGCCTACGCTTTGACAGGTGACTCGAGCCCGAGAAAACGACATACCGGCTTGAGCAGTCAAACGCAGGTGTCGTAGGGGAAGTCACCGCCGTGACTCAAGTGTTAACACGCCGGTTAAATAGGAAGGGCTTTCAATCAGGCAAGGGTGACACCGCCATATAACCTCTCAATACTGAATTGAGAGAGGCTTATGTCCTGCAGTGGAATGAATGGCTGGTGAAAAAAAAATATATATGTATATATTTATATATATATGTATATATACATATATATATATATATATATATATATATATATATATATATATATATATATATATATATATATACATATATATATATATATATATATATATATATATATATATATATATATATATATATACATATATATATATATATATATATATATATATATATATATATATATATATATATATATATATATATATATATATATATATATATATATGTGTGTGGTGTGTGTGTGTGTGTGTGTGTGTGTGTTGGCAAAATGCAGAAAAAATATGAATGAGATTGAATATTTTCACATTTCATTTGACCGTTTTCGATTATATCTCCGTCAGAAATACACCAGAAAAATTACAGAGTGTATATATCAGACATGATCTGCCGAAACACCTGTCGACTGTGAACTCCCATTCGTTATCCACATAATTGCTGCCACGACCTTGGATTATTTGAAGCTTCTGATGTTTTTACATTTTTCTCCGTCGCAATGTATACACTTCCATAATTATTCCCTTCTGTTTCTTCACTCCTCCATGGATTACTTCTGGTTCTTTGCAGTTCGGTAGATGTCCAGCTTCATATACATGTACCACCATGGCGTTGGAAGTCCTGTGGTGACGGAGCGATTTTCACTGTACTGCTGATCACCTGGGGAATGCTGTATGGCGGTAATACGAGATAATTATCATTAGAAGAGGGTGCAGGGTCTGGTTTTGCAAGTATGTTCTCCGCCTTCTTTCTGAGGTTTAACAGGAAGCCTTTGGAATAGTTGTGTTTCATGAAAAAAATAATCATTTAGGCAGGTTCTGATCTTGCGAGTATGTACTCCGCCTTCTTTCTGAGGTTTAACTGGAAGCCTTTGGAATATTTATGTTTCATGAAAGAATTAATTATATAGGCAACCTCGTTCTCAAGAAATTCAGGGCTGCAGATCCTTAGTACTATGAGGAAGAAACCGATTACTACCCTAGATTTTGTTTTATTGCTGTGGGCCGAGTAGTAATGGATATAATCATTTTTATTTGTAGGTTTCCTGTATGCAGGGACACCTGGGCCATCTCCATCCTGGTGGATCAAAATGTCCAGGAAAGGTAATCTGATCCAGTTCTTCCTCCACGGTGAACTGGATTTTCTAGTGGACGAAGTTTAGCCGCGTCAGTGTATGGTGTAAGCATGGCCTTCTGGGGATATATATATATATATATATATATATATATATATATATATATATATATATATATATATATATATATATATATATATATACATATATATATATACATACACACATACACATATGTGTGTGTAGAAAAGGTCTGAATGAGAATTAATATCTTCACAATACAAGAAATGTATTTGACCGTTTTTGATTATATCCATTACTATTCCACCCACAGCAACAAAACAAAATGTGGCGGTGTAATTGGCTTCTTCCTCAGAGTACTAAGGATCTGCAGCCCTGAATTTCATGAGGTTGAAGTTGCCTATATAATGAATTCTTTTATGAAACATAAATATCCCAGAAGCTTCCTGCTAAACCTCAGGAAGAAGGCGGAGAACATACTCGCAAGATCAGACCCTGCACCGTGTAACATTTCCCAGGCAATCAGAAGATACTTCGGCAATGCAGTGAGAATCACCACTACATCCGGGAAAAAGATACATTATATAATACGAGACAGGAAGCAGACCGAAAGCAACCCTGGCAGTGCTGTATATCACATACCCTGCAGCAGATGTGTTACAGCATACTTAGGTGAAACATGCCGTGGTTTCAGTACCAAGATCAGTGAACATCGAGCTGACATCCGTCACCATAGGACCTCCAGCGCCATGGTGGTACATGTAGATGAAACTGGACATCTACCGAACTGGAAGGAAAGAGAAGTAGTCAATGAAGGACTGAACAAACAGAAAAGAAAAATTAAGGAAACTGCATACATTCCGATGGAGAATAATGTTAACACAGCATCAGGCAGATTCACTATCCAAGGTCCCGGCAGCAATTATACGGACAACGAGTGGGAGGTCACAGTCATCAGGTGTTTTGTCAGCTCATGCATGATATATATATATATATATATATATATATATATATATATATATATATATATATATATATATATATATATATATATGTGTGTGTGTGTGTGTGTGTGTGTGTGTGTATATATATATATATATATATATATATATATATATATATATATATATATATATATATATATATATATATATATATATATATATATACATTCTGTAATTCCCCTGATGTATGTATATCTGACGAAGACGTAATCGAAACCGGTCAAATACGTCTCTTGTATTGTGAAGTTATTCATCCTCATTCATACCTTTTCTACATTTGTCAACATGAATACGGTTCATATATATATATATATATATATATATATATATATATATATATATATATATATATATATATATAAATATATATATATATATATAT